GGAAGCTGATGGGAACTACGTGCAACCATTTGCAGTTAACGACTTAGATATTTATTCAGGGGAGAGCTACTCGGTTCTGTTAAGAACAGATCAACTCCCCTCCAAGAATTATTGGATTTCAGTTGGTGTAAGAGGCAGAGAACCCAAAACACCTCAAGGCCTCACCATTTTGAACTATATTCCCACCTCTGCATCAAAACTCCCCACCTCTCCACCTCCTGTGACGCCTCGATGGGACGATTACAATCACAGCAAAGCGTTTACTAAAAGTATTTTTGCCCTGATGGGATCCCCTCAGCCACCAAGAACTCATGACCGCAGGATTATCCTCCTCAACACTCAAAACAGGATCAATGGATTCATCAAGTGGTCCATCAACAACATTTCCTTAGCATTGCCGCCAACCCCGTACTTGGGCTCCATTAAATTTGGCCTCAACCATGCTTTTGATCAAAGACAACCCCCTGACAACTATGATAACAGTTATGATATCATGAAGCCTCCGGTGAACCCCAACTCAATTCATGGAAATGGAGTTTACACCATTAACTTCAACACCACCGTGGATGTGATACTTCAGAACGCCAACGCGCTAGCCAATAATGTTAGTGAAATACATCCATGGCATTTGCATGGTCATGATTTTTGGGTGTTGGGCTACGGAGAAGGGAAGTTCAAAGAAGAAGATGAGCAGAGCTTTAACTTGAAGAACCCACCACTGAGAAACACTGCTGTGATCTTCCCATATGGATGGACTGCATTGAGGTTCTTTGCAGATAATCCAGGAGTTTGGGCATTTCATTGTCACATCGAGCCACATTTGCACATGGGAATGGGAGTTGTTTTTGCTGAAGGTGTCCATCGTGTTGGTAAAATACCCAGAGCTGCTCTTGCTTGTGCCTTAACAGGAAACAAGCTCAACTAATCTAATTAACTCATGTATAAAAAAATTTAGATCTCATTCCGGAAGCAGTTAGCTAATTTCTGTATGGTGGCAACAAATCGGAGTTCGGATATATTTTAAGCTTTTGTATCCTGAAAGATACACTAGTTTTCTTGGAATTTTACATATAGCCTTTTGTCTTCTTCCCTGCTCTAATTTCTATTGCTACTTCTTTCCCTAGTATATTTGAACTTATTTGGGTTTAGTTTTAGGTTCGGGAAAAGGCTAGCCATATTGCCATGGGCTAGCAATGGTGTTTACCTTGGGCTAGATCGTTCGATTTGAGCATGTGGGTTTGGTCACTGGCTTATATCTCATCCATTGGGGCATTGGCTGAAGTCTACAAACGCATAATGGGCAACATATATGAAGTTACAGAGACAGCCAAAATGATTATGGAGGAATCTTTCAATCAATTTGCCAACAAAATAATGCAATCACTCTTTCACATACCAAACTTAATTACATGATTCTAGGTCCAACTTTTAAGAGGAATTGCATAGTTTTCCTTTTTGAATCATTTATTAATCAATGAACCCAAAAAATCTTTCCAAACTTTTGATTCCATGTACCAAAAGTTAAGGTTGAATTGATATGTATATGCATTGCAATCCAACATTATGCCAAGTACAAAGGCAGGAAAATTTGTTCAACATATGGTAATGAAATTTTCAACTTAGAAACTCTAGTTAAATATAGTATAAGAAAAATATTTGAGAATGATCTTTCTAAATTTCCTTTTTTGGTATAATTTTTACCTTTCCTAGGTACATGAGAGTAAATCTCTAAGTCAAATCTGGATAATTTTTTATTAACTATTTTTAAAATGAAAAAACACATGATAAGTATAGAATTTTTTCCATAATATTGAAGTTTTTTGAATAAAAGTAACTTTTCTTCAATTACAGCAAAAAAATTTATCCATCTCCTTTGACTTGTTTAACTAATTTCTAGAAAGTATTGAACTGTCTCTAGTTGAGGATAATTAGAAGAAAAACAAAATTGGTAATGAAGGGAGCAAATTCTTCCCTCTATTATTGGAAACTTCTTAATTGTTAGTAACTGTCTTGAAGAAAATCTTGAGGAAAGATAATCTTTCCCAATAAGTATTCATAGTGATCTATCCTCGTTACTACAAAAAAAGATCCTTTAAGGTGTGAAAAGATATCTGCAAGAATTCCTTAAGGGAAAATTCTCAGGGAGCCCTTTAATTCATACGAAAATGATCAGAGCAGATTCATGCATGATGTCAAAAGTTATTCCTAGATATCAGCAGTGACAGATTAAATAGTAATCGCAGACTTGTGTACATTGATCAAAATTTCAAGGAGTAGTTAGAGCCTTGGTTTTGCCTTCTATATATATTGGCCTGGCAGGCATTAGGCAAGCTATTCACCTTGGTTTTGCATGTTGGGAAAATGGGTTGGGAGTTTTGGGACTCCAGGGCTCTTGTTTTCTGGTGCTTCGTGTTGTCTTTGATCCATGTTTCATTTGGTTCTAAGGTTAGGCATTTCCAATGGGAAGTGGAATACATGTACAGCTCTCTAGATTGTTTGGAACATGTCGTGATAGGTATCAATGGCCAGTTTCCAGGGCCGACCATCCGAGCTAAAGCCGGAGACACCATTGTTGTGGAACTCACTAACAAGCTTCACACCGAGGGAGTTGCCATTCACTGGCATGGAATCAGACAGGTTTCCCTTCTCTCTCTCTCTCACATGCATAGTGCCATAATATGGAATTAGTTGATCTTGTCCATCCATAAAATGTTGTGTTTCATATATCAGCTTGGAACACCATGGGCAGATGGGACTGCTTCCATTTCACAATGTGCTATCAACCCTGGAGAAACTTTTACATACAGGTTCAAAGTTGACAGGGTAATCTCTCAATCTCTCTTTCTTCTGTTTCTTCGTGAGATACATGATCGATCTTAAAGCCTTCAATGAACGATGTCTAGACTCCAGAATTCAAATTACAACATGCAAGTTGCAACATAAATACTATTATCAGTTTATATTATATTTTTTGGTGAATGTTAATGGCGCAGTCTGGAACGTACTTTTATCATGGACACTACGGAATGCAAAGATCAGCAGGATTGTACGGGTTCCTGATAGTGGACGAGCATGGAAAGAGAGAGCCCCCATTCTATTACGATGGTGAGTTCGACCTATTGTTGAGTGATTGGTGGCACCAAAGTGTTCATGAGCAGGAGGTTGGTCTTTTCTCTAAGCCATTCCGCTGGGTCGGTGAACCCCAGGTAAAAACTCAACACTACAATTGCAATTTATTGGTTATAAACTTTGCATACTAAACGAGCAAAGTGAATGTAGAAAATAACATAATAATATGTAAAAAAAAAATAAAAATAAAAAGCCATGATATGTAAAGGTGAAAGACTTTCTTTGCCCTTGTTCCTGCTAATTTTCACCTTTGGCCCACAAGGAAGAAATTAATTACCCTTTTTCTTTGGGGTTAGAGTCTGCTGATTAATGGAAGAGGGCAATTCAATTGTTCATTGGCTGCAAAATTTAGCAACAATGCTTCTGTCAGCCAATGCAAGTTTAGTGGGAATGAGCAATGTGCACCCCAAATCTTGCAAGTCCATCCAAACAAAATCTACAGGCTGAGGATTGCTAGCACCACTGCTTTAGCTTCACTCAACTTGGCCATTGGGGTAACTACCTGTTCCTATTCCTATTTCCAAGTTAAGGAAATGTTAGAACTAATAGTTTATTCAGTAAAGGACTTGGAACTGTATTTCTCTGGTTTAACAAAATTTCTTTGCAGAATCACAGAATGATGGTGGTGGAAGCTGATGGAAATTATGTGCAACCATTTGAAGTTGATGACTTGGATATTTATTCAGGGGAAAGTTATTCAGTCCTCTTAAGAACAAACCAAAACCCTTCCTCCAATTACTGGATTTCAGTTGGTGTAAGAGGAAGAGAGCCCAAAACCCCGCAAGGCCTCACCATTTTGAACTATATTCCCACCCCTGCATTAGAACTCCCTACCTCTCCAACTCCTGTAACACCTCGATGGAACGATTATGATCACAGCAAAGCGTTCACTAAAAGGATTCTTGCCACCAAGGGGTCCCTTCAGCCACCAAGAAGTCATGATCGCAGGATCATCCTCCTCAACACTCAAAACAAAATCAACGGATTCACCAGGTGGTCTATCAACAACATTTCCTTAACATTGCCTTCGACCCCTTACTTGGGCTCCGTTAAATTTGGGCTCAACAATGCTTTTGATCAAAAACACCCTCCGGACAACTATGATAACAGTTATGATATCATGAAGCCTCCGGTGAACCCCAACTCGACACTTGGAAATGGAGTTTACACCATCAACTTCAACACCACAGTGGATGTGATACTTCAAAATGCCAATGCATTAGCAGAAAATGTCAGCGAGATACATCCATGGCATTTGCATGGTCATGATTTCTGGGTGTTGGGCTACGGAGAAGGGAAGTTCAGAGAAGAAGACGAGCATAAGTTTAACTTGGAGAACCCACCGTCACGAAACACCGCTGTGATCTTCCCATATGGATGGACCGCATTGAGGTTCGTTGCTGATAATCCAGGAGTTTGGGCATTCCATTGTCACATCGAGCCACATTTGCACATGGGAATGGGAGTCGTCTTTGCTGAAGGTGTCCGTCGTGTTGGTGAAATACCCAGAGCTGCTCTTGCTTGCGGCATAACTGGACGTTTTTAAGCACCAAAAATATAGCAGAACTGAACCAAGAGTAATCAACTCGTGCATTTGCCATTTCTAGTATCTAATTTCCAAAGTAAATGAGAGTTATGGTTGGTCTTGTATCCTAAAAATACTCGTAACAGTCTTGTTCTTTCTTCCTAATTTCATTTCCATGACGTTGAATTGGTATCTTCCGTTACTGCTCTACTCGTCTTTCGAGGCTAATTTGCAGAGGTTTATGATCAAAGCAGTGTTAACAATTCTGCGTTGGGAAGAAAGGTTAGCATAGTTTCCATGGGCTGGCCTCATGAAATTTGAGCCAACGTTCCTGGATTCTTGGCCATGGTTTATATGGGAAAAGGATTCCCTCCAAGCCTAGCCCAATTCAGGTCTTTTGTTTTTGTTTTTATCATAAACATTTGACTCCATTAATACAAATTTTAAATTTGCATAATTTATTTTATCATTTATAGGTAATTGGGTACTTAGTACTATTTTTCATTCTATTTTTTCAAAAAAAAAAAAAATTTTTCATTTGTTGCAACCTCATCATTACTCTCCCCAGAATAACACTTACGATAAATCTTATATATTAACAAGCATAATTTTCAAATATAGAAAGAAAGAGACTACGAACGAGAAAAAATTATCTTAATTTTATATAACATAATTAATATTTAAAACGAAAAAATACATAATAAATTAATTACTCAATCGAGTAATAAATTATAATTTTTCAATCTTTTCCATTTTTTAAAAAAGGTAAAAAATGATATATTAATTCTTTTTATCTCTCTGCTGTCTTATTCCCAAATAAAGAACCCTTTATTATTTTCTCTTGTTTCTTTTTATTTCAAAATTATCCTTTTTTTTTGCTTTGGATCATCTCCAGGTGCCTCCAAAATCTAAGAGTAAAGATTCCTTTTTGCTTTCCTTTTCCTTTCCCCTTTTTCATCTTTACACATTTGTGAAATGATATTTCACTATTAGGTGATTCGTCGACAAAATAACCCAATAAATCATTCTCGTATCTTATCGGGACCCATACTCAATAGTAATTAAAATTCAATATGTCCTAAATATATATCAATTTTTTCAATTTATTAACTATATTTTTACATTTTTTTTTGGGTTTAAAGGATTTTGATGATTTATTAATAGTAAATGAGAGCACGTGTCCAAATAATTGCCCTCAAGATCATTATTATTATTATTATTTTTATAAGCAAGAAAAGAATAAACACAGCGATGAGCACAAAAAGTAATGTTAATTTTGTGCTTGCTGCCTACTGTTTAATAAAGTAGACAAATTTATTCTCTCTTCCCCCTAACGTGGAGAGAGTAATGGGGCAACTTGTTTTTATAAAATTAAATAAATTTCTAAACTCGTGCTTAATAAAATTTATTTTTACTTTTTAATTTTTAAAATTAACATTTAATTTATCATTTGATACTAAATCGATACATATATCTTTTTACTTAAACAAGAAAATTAATTTTGAATTTTTACTTTCTCGCAATAAGAAAAAATACCTCATCAAGCACTTCTTAAACCAAAAACTTAATTGTAAAAATTTAAATTATGTCAACTGATTATGTAAATAGAATGTTCTCTCTTTTAAGAGAACAATATGTTACCGATTTAAGAATGAAGTAATTCGCATCTTAATTATCTTGTTATATCTTTATATCAACAATAAGCCACCGAACTCTTCCTTGATCGAATAATTAATTATGAAAATTAAAGACGACGATCATTCGTGGTCGTAAAAGAAGAAGTGTTGTTGATTAATAAATTAAAATCGTATTATTTAATTATGTGAAAAGAAGGGAAAAGAAATAAAAAAATTAAAATAATAAAAAAAAAAACTCCCTTAGTGAAGGGAGATGACATTGGATGAAGACGAGTTTGCCTCCCCCAAACGCCAATTGAATGCATTTCCCATAACCAAGACTAATATAATTGGTGACTGGTCAGGTGCTGTCTTGAAGAACACGGTCCCTACACTGCAGATGTCATTAATAAATTTACTAAGAAAAAATTATAATTATTAGGAAATGGAAAACGTCTATCCCAAGAATCAGATTGGATTAACCTGACCTTAATTTACTTTCCTTTTTTTTTTGGAATATATTAATGGTTTTCCATTTCCTTACTATTTAATCTAGTGTCACTGTTCCCCATACTTTTGATTATATTACACTCTTTTGTTTTTAGTTTTTACAAATCCCCAACAGTTTCTCCCATTTTCTCTCTCTCTCTTTCTATCCTTTCACAATCACCAACAGGGAGGGAGGCAGGCAGGCAGCCACCGCCCTTCTCTTCAATAATTCTCTCTTAGGGGCAGTAGCAAAGTTCCAACTTTCAAAACTAAAGAGGATAATATTCTTTCTCTTTCTTCTACCCATCATCTGTCTCTCCGTCTTTTTTTTTTTTCCTTTTCTTTAGCATCGTTTCAAAGTCTACTGTGTGTTACAGAATTGACTTCTTTGAGCTTTGTGGAATAGGCCGAAATCTGGGTTTTTCCTGGTAAGTCTGTTTTTTGGACTGGGTTTTGAGTGGATCTCTATGCGTTCTGACTCGATTTTAGTACTTACTTTGGGGGAGTTTTTTTAATTTTGTTTACTACTTTTCTGATATGGGTTTTGATTATTGATTCATAAATTCAAGCTTTTGATTGTTTGTTGCGGTTTTTCTGATGCTTTTTTTGACTGTGTTTTGGTTATTGATTGACAAAGTTGAGATTTTGATTATCTGGTTTGAGGTTTTGGCTACTTTTCTGATTTGGTTTTAATTATTGATTGTTAAAGTTGAGGTTTTGATTACCAGTTTGGGGTTTTTCCCTACTTTTCTGATTTGGGTATTTGATTATTGATTGAAAAGGTTGAGGTTTCGATTGTCTATTTCGGTTACTTTTCTGATTTGGATTGATTGTCTGTTTGGGCTTTTTTTTCTTCTTTTCTATTTGGGGTTTTGATAATTGATTGACAAATATAAGGTCTTGATTGTATCAGATCCAATCAATTTGAGCTCAGTTATGTTTTTTTTTTCAGTTGCTTCTTCATTTTAAGAAGCTTTTCTTCTTCAAAAAAATTAGTTGTCAACCAAAGTTTTGTGCTTTGACGAGATCTGACTCGTGTCTGATGGTGCCTGTTTATTTTTGGAAACCTGATTGTTCCTTAACGTAAGATTTATGAAGCCGAATTGATTTTGTTCACTCTTATCTCTCTTATGTGATGATGACTTAAGTCTCCATATAAACAGATGATCAGCTGATATAATTTGTAGGCTAGTTTGATCTGTTCAATTTTCGTCAGATTCTTTTCTTTTTTGCTGGTAGTCTTATCTGGGGAATAATTAAATCTATTTGTACCTAGCTTATTTGGGAATTGAAAATCTTTGTTTATGCTTTTGTGGGTTTGAGTGAGCAAAATTGCCTGGTGATCTAATCGTTTGTATCAGTTAAGGGATAGATTTGAAATCATTGGAGTCAGGTCTTTGATGCTTTTAGTGTTTTGTATTAAATTTAGACTGTCAATATCAGTTCAGTGGTTAGATGCTGCTATTTTATTGCGAAATTTTATGGCTCTTGCTGAGGTTTTCTAGCCTGATTTTTTTTTTTAAATACAGGTTAATTAAGGCCGTAGTTTTGGGTGATTTGAATAACAGTACTCAGTAGGAGAAAAGGTAGTTTGATTGATCCAGAGATTTCCCACAAGTTTGAGACATATTTGAGGTTCTAATTTGAAATAATGATGATGTTTGAAGAGATGGGAATTTGTGGGGATATGGATTTCTTCAGTGCTCCCCTTGGGGAAAAAGATGCGGCCGCCTCACAAACTGAACCAGAGGCCACAGTGGAGGATGATTATACCGATGAAGAGATTGATGTGGATGAACTTGAGAGGAGGATGTGGAGGGACAAAATGCGTCTCAAACGGCTTAAAGAACAGAACAAGGGCAAGGAGGGGATTGATATTGCCAAACAGCGCCAGTCCCAAGAACAGGCAAGGAGAAAGAAGATGTCAAGGGCACAGGATGGAATATTGAAGTACATGTTGAAGATGATGGAAGTTTGTAAAGCTCAAGGTTTTGTGTATGGGATTATTCCAGAAAAGGGAAAGCCAGTAACTGGGGCATCTGATAATCTTCGGGAATGGTGGAAGGATAAGGTCAGGTTTGATCGTAATGGACCTGCTGCTATTGCGAAGTACCAGGCAGATAATTCGATTCCTGGCAAGAATGATGGCTGTAATTCTATAGGTCCTACACCACACACCTTGCAAGAACTTCAAGATACAACTCTTGGTTCTCTTTTGTCTGCACTGATGCAACACTGTGATCCTCCTCAGAGGCGATTTCCTTTAGAGAAAGGTGTTCCCCCGCCATGGTGGCCTAGTGGAAATGAGGAATGGTGGCCACAACTGGGTTTGCCCAAAGAACAAGGCCCTCCTCCTTATAAGAAACCTCATGACTTGAAGAAGGCGTGGAAAGTAGGGGTTCTCACAGCAGTGATCAAGCATATGTCTCCTGATATCGCCAAGATTCGCAAGCTTGTAAGGCAATCCAAGTGCTTGCAGGATAAGATGACTGCGAAGGAAAGTGCAACTTGGCTTGCCATCATTAATCAGGAGGAGGCCTTGGCCAGAGAGCTTTACCCTGATTCCTGCCCACCTTTGTCCTCAGGTGGAGGAAGTGGGTCTTTGGTTATAAATGACTGCAGTGAGTATGATGTTGAGGGGGCTGAAGATGAGCTAAACTTTGATGTTCAAGAGCGTAAACCTGGGAATCTCAATTCTTCTAATATGGGCATTGACAGAATGAGGGCTGTCCAACAACCACCTTATCCTATTAAGGGAGAAGTTGGCAATAGTTTGGATTTCATACGAAAGAGGAAGCCCTCCAATGATTTAAACGTGATGGAACACAAAATCTACACTTGTGAGTTCATCCAGTGTCCTTATGGTGAACTTCGCTTGGGTTTTCATGATAGGACTGCAAGGGACAATCATCAGTTGACTTGTCCATACAGAAACTCCTCTGCACAGTTTGGGGGTTCTAATTTTAATATTAATGAAGTGAAGCCAGTCATATTCCCTCAACCTTTTGCTCAATCCAAGCCAGCTGCTCCACCGATTACTTCAACATCCTTTGATCTGCCAGCACTTGGAGTTCCAGAAGATGGGCAGAAAATGATCAGTGAGCTCATGTCGATATATGATAACAACATTCAAGGCACCAGGAACATGAATCCTGGTAACCATCCAGTTACAGAAGGTCAAAATCTTCTTCAGCCTAAAATCCAACAGCAGCAGGATGAATACTTCCGTGGTCAAGGAGTCATGGTGGAGGGAAACTTCTTCGAGGAGTCTAGCATGCCCAATAATAATCAGATGTTTTCACAAGGGGAAGGCCAATTTGATCGGTTTAAGGCCTTGAATACTCCTCAGTTTGAGACAAACCATAATAACAACAGCTTCCAGTTGATGTTTGGGTCTCCGTTCGACTTGGCTTCTTTTGATTACAAGGAAGATTTACAAGCTGTTGGGATGGATACTCTGCCAAAGCAAGATGTTTCAATGTGGTTCCAGTAACAAGACCAAGGCCAAAGTGTAGCTATCCACTTAGAGCTACTGAGCAGTTTGTTCTTGCAGGGAGATCTTCCTCCCTTGCTGCTTATTGTATGCCTAAGGCCTTGTAGACACATGCACTAGCTAAAACTGTTTTTTTACTGTGTTATTGTATTTTTCCTCCCTGTCTGTAGCTGTAGAAGCTTAGCAAGTTTAGCAGGTCTCATACGGGCTTCAATAAAAACGTGGGAAGTCCCATGATCCTGCTACTGATTTACATAGAATGTGACTGTCTCATAAATAAGTTAGGTGTATTCTCTCTCTGGTTTTTATTTCTTTTTTACTTTTGTTTCACAACTTCTAATCAGTTTTCTACCATTATCATGTGGGCAGGAATCTGATTGTGAGTGTTTTGTCCTGTATTGGGTACATAGTGGACGGGTGTGTTGAATGGAAACTGTTGTCTTTTAATGCAATCTTGTTGGTCATCCCATGTGAGCCAGACCCACAGCAGTTAATGGAAGATGCTTAAGTTGACCAGGATCTCTCTATCATGGAACGGCTGTGTTCGTGTTTGTGTGTGGGTGGGTGCGATATGGGTTTATGTGTGTGGTGGGGTCTGTTCAAGGACGGCTGCGCTCTCTAAGGTTCAGCCAGCTGTATTGGGTTTTGTTCAAAGTTTGGAACTTATCATTTCCATGGTCCCATTTCAGGAAAAAAATAAGTAGAACCACATAATAAAGATTGAAAACATATAAAGGGGAGGAAAAGGAAAAAAAAGGCACTGAAAGGATATGATCAAAACTTTGTTGGCACTATGGTGTGGTGTTGCTTTCATTGTTGGGTTCATTTATTTAATGTATTTATTGCTATCTTTGCAGGTGTCTGGTTTTATCTGCAAAATTCATCTCCCATTCTGATATTTTTGGCTCTTTCCCTTTCCTTCCTCACAAAGAAAAATACGTAATTGGATCACATGGGTATTTGACTTAATTATAAATTTATTGTTAAGCATAATCTGCTTTAGCTGTCATGAATGAAATGGAATGGAAATGGAAGCAACCAAAGCCGTTACATTTTAATATTCACTATGATATTTTTTTATATTAGAAATCTTTTAAATCTTTAATCTAAAGTCTTACACCTATTGACTTCTCTTTCATACATTAAATTGTAGGATGGAAAGGAGTTGTGCTCATGAAGTTAGCAGCTTTGAAGTTCTAATAATGAATTTTTTTCCCCCTTTGACAACAAAAGCATTTAGCTCTACCAATCGAAAATTAAGTTGTAATGATTAATTCCAAAAAAAATTTGTAAATTTCTCATAAAAAATAGTATAGTTTGATGATTTGTCTAAAATATGTTTTATGTTCCTCCAATTCACTTGTGATTGCTCCCTCTTACTTACCAGGGAGTTTTAGGCTCAGGTTTGATTGCAAGATGGGGACCTTCGAGAAGTACCAGGGCATCTCAGTTTGAGGCTAAAAGATAATTAGACAATGGGTTTTTGCTGCCCTAATTGTTTCCAGAATTTCTGGTGAGAAATTATCATGTTTATCTCTTAACAGATTGATCCGTTTGTCATGGTATGGCCAAGGTAATAATTCTAAAAGACAAGAGGAAGAAGGACAAAAACAAGGAAAATAGCAAAACAACAAAAGCAAATGAATCAATGGGGGAATATAACCCTCATTTGGTGATTTATCCTTGGAAAAGAAAAGTGAACAGATTAAGAAAAATACATATTATTAGCAGTTCTTTAGACACAGACAAGATAAGTAGGATTTGGTTGTAGCTGCAAAATGCCAAATTGCCAATCAATGGAAGCTTAGCAATCTTTTCACGGGCGTTTAGGGACAGCCCTCCTCTTCGTTTTCATGTTATTCTAACAGGCGCAAAACATCCTTGTGGCCATAAGTCGCTGGAGGAACATATTTGCATTTCCAGCACCATTTCTAGCAGAAGAACACACAGGGTTTTTTTTGTAATTGCAGGCTCCAGGGGCACTTCCCTGACAGCAGAAACAATCCAAAAGACAAAACCAAACTCAGTAACCCTGAATTTGGGTAATCTTTTCAATGCATTGAATGCCAAAAAATGGGTTTGGAGAAATCAGATATGTAATAATTGAACCTGACAGAATAGTTGGATATTTGGCTTGACTTTTTCAACATGTGTTTCACGTTTCCTGGTGATGTGATTTCCTTGGCCTGGGTTTCGAGAATTCCGTGAGTTCGTTGACTGCTGATATAAAGTTCTTCTGACAGCACAGAAAAGTCTGCAGCCTTAGATCAACAGGATCAAAACCTTACACAAAATGATTAAAAATATATTAATTGCCAAATTTTGCTGTTAGAGACAGACAAATTCAAGCAGATGTATTGATTTCATGGATGACTAAAATTTTAAACAGCTGTAACTTTATTGATTGTTTTGAGACAATTTTGGAGTTCCAGATCATGATCATGATCATGACTAGTGATTTTATATATAATTTGTTGACATCATGATCCTGAATCTATCACCATTGTTACAAAGATGGTAATGAAGCCACTATCATTCACTTGTTAAAGTTCCAAAACGTTGCACCATCACTTCATCAACTAAGATCCACCGTCACCACCACCACCACCACCACCACCACCACCACCACCATCAGCACCGCCATAGATATCATGATTGTTGCTGCCAATCACACGCCAACATTTTCACCTATATATGCAACCCCTAGCTAGCTCTAACTATGACTTTTTAACAACAACAACAAAGCTATCTTCACCTAACTTTGCTCCTGCTTTCCTTCCCATATTCTCCCAATCATAAAACAAATTGCCACCGCCACAAAGCCAGGCACGTACCAAGCCAAGTGATATGAATCAAATTTCCAACATGGGGTTCTCTTTTTGTCAATCAGCATATGATCATGCCAAATTCTTTATAAAACTCTTCCCAAGGAAAACTATCTCTATCCCTGTCGGTTAAATACAACTTTTCCTTCACGTTAAGGGTAAGAAATAGTTACAAGTTTTTTATATCTGTAAATGGGACGACAAGTTGTGACAAATCCCTTTGTAATGAAAGTGTTTGTACTTTATCAAGATGCACAGCTCAGAGACAGAAGTTGACATATTACTGATTATGCTCTAAGTTCCAATGGTGGGAATATTTCTGTTTTTTCTTCACTGTAACTGCCATTGATGACTTACTGGTGCTGGACCCTTCGAGCACTTTTGTCTTAGTCCATTTACAGTGCTTGTTCATGCATGAAAATTACTGAGGAAAAAGTGAAAACCATCTTATCTTCCTGAACTGTTGTTTTCCTTTTTCTTTTTTTAATTGAAATCTTTCTCAGACCCTTTTGTCAAACCTTCTTGGACGAAGGTCTGTCAGAGGCTGTCACAAATTTCACCATGGATGCCGATAGATGACAAGAAATTTACAATTACTGACTTTTGTCGTACTCTAAAGTGAAGTAATTATGATTAATGAGGCATTATGATTAAGTTTTACACTGTTAAACTTATATTAATTAACTTATTAGATCCAAATCTAATTCAGATTTGAGAGAGAGAGACAGTGAAACCCGAATGCTTGTGCTTCTACTGCAAACATGGTACATAATATAAGTTCTTACTATGATATAACATACATCAATGCTGTAAATTATGATTAAACATACATGCATGCATGCATGAATGGTACATTAAAATGTTATGAATATAGATTACAAGCTTTTTCACTATACAAAAGGAGATTTGACAAGCTCAAGACGGAATCCCAGCCTTGTGCTAAACATGCATACTTGAGTGGAAGCTATCATTTCGAGCAAAGTAGAGGAAAAGCAAAGAGAAATTAATTGCTAGTGTAGATCTCTCCATTGGGACCAAAAAAACTTTGGGGTTGTGGAAGGACAACAACATCACCCATGTGAGCAAACCTACATATAAAAAGGCTTATGTCAAAGAAATAATAATAATAAAAAAAACATAAATATATAAATTTTATAATTTCTAGATCATTAAGTTTGGGTGCATGCATACCCTTTGCTGTTGACAATAAAGAAAACCTCTCATTGTGCAACTGGCAAAACCATTTCTCCCATTTCCTGCTTAAAGTTGAATGAAAATGGCAATGAGAATCAGGTAATTTAACAAAGTAAAAATATGTAAAAGTAGCACAAATTATCCATGGGCAAGTACTTAAGTACTAGTAGAACTAGTCTTTAATGGATTATGAAGAAAGTATTATAAGCTAGCTAGCTCCACTGACATTAAATTATTTATCTATCTAGGAAATGTTAAGGTAAAAATTTGGGTATGCCGTGAGTGTGTACAGAAGGTGAACTCACTTGCCCTTTTTGAGACGTTTGTGTCCACAAAACCATTTATTTAATCCTTTAGCTCCTTTTTCCCAAATTTGTTTTATAAAGAAAACCCATTCTCTTACTCTCCCAAACCTTTTCTGTGTATTTTCAATGCCTAGTGTTTACAAAATCATGTGTCTTTGCCTATTTATTTGGTACAAATGACCAATTCTTTCTTGCTATGATAAGCAAGTTTTTTTAATAGATCTTAAACAGTAAAAAGTGTAAAATCAATTTTGATTTACCAAATTTCATATCAATTAAGTAAAAGAATAATTTTCGACTCATTCGTATAGTCGTTGCACATTCTAATAGGTTAATTTTTTAAAAAGAAGGTAATGGTCTTGTTTGATAAGACCTAATTTGGACCAGATTACAATATCACACAAAACGATTAATTAAATGGAATAGGTAAAGTGATTCTACTTGCAATAAAAGTCTTAACGAATTCAATAAAAGAGAATGTTATGAAATTTCATGTTAAATAAATAAGTGAAGGGTTTTGGGCTTATAGACGTGAAAGCTGTACGTCCAATTAAATTAATTTATGAATAAAAAGATAATAGTCTCATGCTAAAAATGAACTTAGAAGTAAAATAAGAAATGTTTTTTAATTTGAAAACTAAATAACAAATATTTTCCATACCGACTAAAACCTAACAGATTCTCATCAAAGATATAAGATATTAGAAGAGAATATTATAACTAGAACTTAAAATTTAATCTAAAACTCTCCTTAATTTAAACCACATGAACTAAAGGAAAGTGTTAAAGCTCATAAGGGGACACGATTTCTGCTCATCACTTTGTCGTGAAGTACAACTTATGGCATCCAATGGAACACATACCCTCCCTCTAAGGGTATCATGACTCATTAGATAACAAATTTTCACTTGGGATTCCATTTTCTCCCCGGCATTAAGCAGGCTACTTGAATGGGTTTTTTTTTTTTTTT